AGGGTAGCTCTTTGGGAGATATTCTAGCATCGGGAGTATAGCTTGCGCGCCGCTGCCTGTGGCTCAAGGCACGCGCGCCCTATTTGCCCGGACACTTACCTCAGTGTTCGCTATGTGCTGGAAAGACCGATACATCGATCTTATCCTATCCTACCCATCCACTCCCCATATCGTATTCCTTCGACATGGAACTGGACGCAATGTGAGCTCATCCGCCTCCCATGGAGACGGATGCTATTCGACCTACCAGGCTCACTTTCGACTAAGCCCTCATAGACCATCTTGGGAGTTTCCCGGGGCTGTCTTGGCCCGTCTTGGGGCCCTCTTGGGCGCGAACACGTCACGCGGGGAGATGCGGGAACCCCCCCGACAAGCCGCGGCAAGCCCTGGGCAATGTTGGGTCCTGGCTCCTTAAAGACTCTTCAGAAGTGGGGACTGATGCTTAGAAGCTAAGGCAAAATTGCCTGAGGACACGCCCACTCCGTACTCAGCGGCAGTGTGGCGGATTCTTGATTAGAACTATAAAGAGCAGTACGACTACGAATCATAATATTTATCATAGTAGTACTAATAATAATGAGGATGATAATGATGATAATCAATAAATGTCCCCCCCCCTGGAGGCGTCCAGTTCGCAACCATCGGGAACACTGTTTGCTAACCTCCCGGCCCGCTTCCCAGAGGCGGCCCAGAGATTCCAGAGGGCCCCAGAAAACGCTTAATAGGGCCCAATAGGCTTCCAAGACAGCCCAGGAGCGCTCCCACGAGGCCCCCTAGAGGCCTCCAAGAGGCTCCCAAGAGGCTCAGCAAGAGGGCCCAACAGGCCTCAAAACGGCTCCCAAGAGGCCTCCCAAACTGCCTCCAAGAGGCTTCCGAGAGGCCTCCAACGATATCCAAACGAATTTCCAAGAGGCCTCCAACCCACAACCCAGACACGGTGGTGGAATGGGCCGAAGGCCACTAGACGGCCCAAGACGCCAAGGCGGCCTCCAGACGGCCCAAGAAACCCCGAAAATACCCAAGAGGACTCCCAAGAGGGTTCGAAGAGGCCAAATAAGATTAATGTTCCACTGGTTTTTGAACAATTTTGGCGTTTCCGCCTGTTCGCTTCCCGACGCTGCAAGAGGCCCCGAGGATCGCCCTAGACGGCCCAATAGGCTTCAAACGCGCCCTAAGAAGGCCCCAAGACGGCTCCCAAACGACCGAAGAGACGTCCAAGACGGCCCAAGGGGGCCCCAACCGCGGCCCAGGATCGGGAACGTGAGCCGAGAACCCGCGATATTCGCCCCAGGAGACCCCCAGGAGGCCTCAAGAGGTCCCCAAGAAGCCCCAAAGAGGCCCAAAGGAGCCCCAAGAGAGGCCCCCGAGGGCGCTTGAAAAAAGGGATTCCAACGTTTCCCGTCTGTTTCGTTACGTTTGCAACAAACATCAGGAAATATCAAATGTCCTTCTCTTCCTCCTCCTCCTCATCCTCCTCCTCCGTAGCCATTTTGGCTCAAGACGTGTCGGCTGAGCATCGACACCGGTGTAGCTCTGGCAGCGCAGATGGGTAGTTGTTGGTCGGCCAAAGCTGTCGAAATGGATGACGGCGTGAAGGTATTCTGGAGTGGGCATCTTACCAAGGGACACGCTGACAGGCGACATGCGTGGCTTCATGAGTACTCCGAGGCCCAGCTGGAGATTAAGGCCTCCATGCCGCCTTTCAACAACGCGAACAAGATGGATGTGCCTGCGTTCGTAGAACAGTTCAATGTTCCCACTTTTGGGCCAAACATCGCCAATTCGGTCATGCGTATCTTTTCGACTGAAGCGATTCTGCGCGTTGCCAATCAGCTCGGCGTCGTGATTCCAACTTACGTGCTTAGCACCTTCATCCAGGATAAGATGGTGAAAGTTCACGACATGATCAGGTACGCTCGACAAACCGCCGCGATCGCCGACAAGAACGCGGGCGCCATCGACAAGCTTGAGAGGTTTGTGCAAGCGTTCAAGGCGCTCGATAGCAAATCGGTCCCCGACGTTGCCTCCTGGCAGGCGTTTGTCCTGGAGCACGTGCCAGCAGGGTGGGAGTCGAGGCTCCATTTCGACCACCTGCTCGAGAACTTCGGCTTCGCAAAGGAGGCCTCCGACGAGCTGAGAGCAGCGCAATTCGTGAAGGAGGACGGGGAGACTGTAACGTTTGAGCAGCACGCTTATCGTTGGCTCAGCAAGGCCTTCTCCGCGTATGGCCCTAACGGAGCGCTCACGGACGTGGTCAATTTGGTGTTCGCAATGTCTGGCGCTTCTGCTAGAGGTCTCAGCGACTTGGACGTCGCCAGGCAGATCGACCAGTTCACCAGCAAGGTCATGGCCGGAGACTTGAAGGGCCTGTGGGTTCCGAACAAGTTCTTCATGGATTGCGAGGTGGACGACTGCATGTGCTGGGCGCTCCTTCAGTACATCCACGAGACGAGGGGCACGACCCTCCACGTCCTGGCGCAGATGCCGCCCGACAAGGAGCTGGACGTGCTGGAGAAGCGCTGGGCGCAGCTGCCGGGCTGCGAGGTCTGGCGGGACCCCGACTCCCGCAACGCCAAGGCGATCAGGACTGGCCACGGCATTTGAGTGAGGCCTGGCGCCGGTCGCCATGAAGGGCCGGTCCCAGTGGAAGACCCCCGGCCCAGGACCCGTCTCTTCCAGGACCCCCTCCCTTCGGGCCAAGGCGGAGCACAGTAGGATTCGCAGCTGAATCATGGGGCCAGACGCACGCGTGCACACAAGGCGGCCGCAGCACACCTCGGCTGCGCACGCCGCCCAGAGCCAACGCGAACAGACACCCACATTTGATTCGGGGTCACTGCGCTCTGCCAACGGCTGATCTTCTGGTCGCGCCGACGACCGAGGAGTCCGTCTGGGGCTCATCTGCATGTGTGATAAGCCTGCACCTTGCACCCCTCTTCTGCTCGGTGAGCAGCTCCGCGCCATCCTCCTCTCTCGTCCGTCCTCTGTCCTGCGTTCCTCGTCTTCCTCGCCCCTCTCCTCGGCCGCTCTGAGACGACGCAGCCGGCTCTCCGCGCTGCTCCTGGCACGGTCCCGCTGCGCGCGCGCAGCGGCGCCGCTTCTCTCGTCGAGGGGGGGGGGGCGCCACACCGCCGGCGGCCCAAGAGCGGCCGCGGGCGTGTGCGTCCCCGCCCGACATGGCTCGTTGACGTCTGTTCTGGAGATCGCCTGCCTCCTCATCCTCCTCCTCCTCATCCTCCTCCTCCTCTTCCCCCTCCCGTTCCTCCTCCTCCTCTGCGGCCTTCTCTTCTCCTCCATGGAACCCCATTCACCTCCCCTTCTCCCTCTTCCTCCGGCTACGCCTAGCCGCGGCGAATAGCAGGGCCCCCGGAAGTGCCTCTTGGGCCTGTCTGAGGCCGCCGCGGGTGGACCATAGGACGTCTTGGAAGCCACTCGGGCCGTCTTCGTGGTTCTTGGGAGCCCCGGAGACGAGGTATCATTAAATAGAGATCCTCAAGAGTTCGACCATTCAGCACAGCTGCCACCCTTTCCTGCGTTCTCCATCTTGTGTTTCCTCCATCCCCATCGTCGGTGGGGAGCCGCCGAGGGGCTGACAGTGTCGAGGACGTATCGAGCGGGAATTGCTCAGGAGCCAAGAACGCCGAGGGTGTCTCGAGTGGGAGCTCCCCTCGGGAGCCGTGAACCTTGTGTCGTACTAAACCCCTGCAGGGAACATATTCGGTGTGGACGAGTGGCGCGGCACCGAGCAGAAGTATCGAAGACGCCTACGACGAGTCACTGCAGCCCCCCCTTGCCTTTCTGGAGACGCCGATGTGGCCAAAGCTATTGACCTACGTGCTTCCCCAGCCGTTGTGGAAATCCTTGGGAGAACATTTGGAGGAGGAAGAGAGGGGGATGAGGAGGAGGGGGAGGAGAGGGAAGAGGACTACGAGGAGGAAGAGCCTCTTGGGGTCCTCTTGTTGCCCCTTCGTGCCTCTTGGGGCCTCTGCACAGCGACTTCCTTGGAGCCTCATGGGAGCCGCACTCCTGGGGCCATCATGCTGCACGAAGGGCAGAAGCGCTCTGTGTCTTTTTGATGGCTCTGGCCTCGTATAGGCAGGCCCCGAGGGCCTGGGAGACGGCCGGAGGGACTCCCGAGCGACGGCTCGCGGACTGGCCCCAGCGGACCATCTCCGGGCGCACCGGGCGTTTGGGGGTCCCTGCTCTGGCGCAGAAAGGGGGCGAATCAGAGGAGCAAGAGGTCATGACCGGCACGAACGAAATGGGTACGGAAAGAATGGGTACGATGCCCAACGGCAGTTCCTGTTCATTTTGAACAGGACTCGCTGTCCGCGCCGCCGCCGCCTGTGTCCATTTGAGACAGAAGGTCGCCTGCCCAACAGCGGCCGCTGTTGGTTTGGGACACCAGTTGATGTTGGGCATCGTACCCATTCTTTCCGTACCCACTTCGGGCGTCCAAACATGAAAAGCATAGGTTCCAAAATATCCTAGGTTCCCAGGGTGTCGAATATTTCCCACTTCGTGTTCCACACGGGCTGCGCCGCTAAGTCAAGTCAAGTCCGGTCGAGGGGCCTATGGAGGCACCTCGCTCCGCAAGCGGAGCCGGAGGGCGTGAGACACTACGGCAAGCGCATGCAAGAGAAGAGTAGTGGACAGGGCATCGTTAAATTACAAATAATATACTTCAGTCATATACATCCTGAAATCCTGGATCCCATCCAGATCCAACCTTTTTGATAAACCTTGCGCTTTGGAAATCTGTCACAGTCGCCAATTTCTCATATTCCCCTTGGACCCTCGTGGGGCCCCGGGGAAGGCCGCGCACTGGCCGACGCAGCACAGGAGCGCACGACAAGCGCCCAGAGCGGCTGGGGTTGGGGGGCCGGGCAACTCGAGAGTGTTACGATATTCAGTCTGGAGGGCTGTATGCTCAGTGATGAAGATTATTGAAGATCTGAGGACGCTATCCGTAGCTCTTTTTGCGCGAGGCTTCAGCACACATGTACGGACGACGATACGTTCTGTGGCGTGGCCTTCTAGCCATTGTCTCGGCCAGGGGGCTTTTCTGCCCGCATTGCAAGTCCGTCGCTTTCAGGCCAGCTACCCCTCGCTTCTGGAGGGGGCGTTGGGGTGAGAGGGGCTGCGCGAAAAGTGGTGTCGCTGTCGCATTGGATGCACTGAGGTCTCGCTTAACCCGTCCACACGGTTGTGGAAGTCAAGCTAGCAGCCAGCACGAAGGCGACAGTGCAGGCAGCGCCGCGAAGCAGCCGGAGGCCCTGCCGAAGGTTCACACGGACTCGGCTGATCAGTTTGGGCCTGCCAGCTTCGAGCCACCCGTGCGCCGCGCGGGAGCGGACCTCTCAAGGCAGGCGCCCGAGGAGATTGCAGAGGAGGCCGCGCTACTGCTCGCGACCTCCTCTCTCTCCTCGGACCAGCAGCTCAGGTGGCGTGTGCTCTCCGCCGCGGTCCGCGATGCCACTCCCGCTCCCGGAGAGACCAGCACAGGCCCACCGCCTCCGGAGGTGCTCTGGGCGCTTCGGGCGGCTCGAGAGGAGAGGGACGCGTTCGTGGCCAGCCTCGGCACCGCGCAGAGGGAGGAGGTGGGGCAGCTCCTCCGGCTGGAGAAGCGCGAGCGAAGGCTCCGCTCCGCGGCGAGGCACCAAGCGCAGGGCCCTCCCGACGCGGGGACCGGTCGGGCGCGAGCCGCGCCGGACGCCGCTGCAGCGAGGCGGAAGGAGGTCATGACCAAGGCCTTCTGGCTTTTCCAACAGGACCGCCGCCGGGAGACCGGGAGCGTCTACGTCGACAGCACGGATCGGTCTGGAGGAAGTGGGGGGTGACCCAAATGGGGGGTGAAACATTGTTTCTGAAGGGGCCCTTCAGGGCCTTTGTTGTAGCCAGCTCAGCAGGGGCTTCAGGGCCCTCCTCTTCACCCCCAATGTGGGTCTCTCCCCATTGCCGCCCGCCCGAACGGAGTGGAAACGGCTCCGAGCCCTGGGGGGCAGCAGCCCGGTGCTCCGCCAATACCTCGAGCGGGCGGGCTGGGAGCGCTCGTGGCCCCCGCCAGAGCCGGAGGGGCGGCTGCTGCGCCGGGCGGGGCAGCAGGCAGCCTTGGCGAGATACGCACGGCCCCCTCCTCGCGCGGACTCGCACAAACATTCTTGCACACCTTCCCTCCTCGGAAGCGACGAAGCGTCGGCTGGTCATCAGCTAGCGGGCCTGGTCAGGGGCACTCTTCTGCGCTGGCGCGGCGGCGATCCCAGCGCGGGCGCTCAAGATTGAAGGCCACCAGCGCCCGCAACTGGCCAGCATCGATCGGCCTGCCCTTCCTGGAAGCCGCCGTCCCAGAGATCCGATGTATTGCTTCTCGGAGTAGTCCCCCAGGACCCGTTTTTCTTCCTGAGCCGTGGCCCGGCGAGGGCCTCCGGGGGCCGAGACCGGCGAGCCCTCCCCCGCCCTGGAGAGGGTTTCTTATTCCTTGGCGATGGCGGGCGTTAGGTGGGGGGGGGGGGGGGGGGGGGGGGGAGGGGAGCGGGTAGCGTCACGTTTTGCGCCGGCGCCATCTGGGAATGTGTTTGAAGAACCGGAGCCAGCTCGGAGGTGAGTCTGATTTACGATGTGACCCTGGGGGGTGAGGGGGGAGCAGAGGGGCGGCCGGGGCCGGTGACGGCCGCTATCGCGGTCGCGGTTGTGGTGCAATGGGGGGGAGGAGGAGGAGGAGGAGGAGGAGGAGGAGGAGGAGGAGGAGGAGGAGGAGGAGGAGGAGGAGGAGGAGGAGGAGGAGGAGGAGGAGGAGGAGGAGGAGGAGGAGGAGGAGGAGGAGGAGAGGGGAGGAGGAGGGGAGGAGGAGGGGGGAGGGGAAGGAGAAGGAGGATCAATATTCTAAAGTCTAAAAATCGGTGTGCTGAATTTGTTGGGTCATTATTGCAGATTCTTGGCGTTCCACAGAACCTGCGCAAACTGGATAGGTCTCCGCAAGATGTCTTGGACTTTGGGGAAATCTGGAAATCAAAGTTTTCATTTTCAGGGTTTGGGGCACTTCTTGCTTTAAATAAAAGAACGCACTTGGTGTCAGGATTCTTATCGCGCTTGTGGCGCGATGGGGGAGGAAGGGGAGGAGGAGGAGGAGGAGGAGGAGGAGGAGGAGGAGGAGGAGGAGGAGGCGGAACAGGAGGAGGAACACGAAAAAAAGGAGGATGCTAAGCCGCTGCGTTTTCAGTTTTGATTGTTTCGGATTTCCAGCAAAGGTTGCGCAGAATGGGTAGTCACTGCAGGGAAGCAAAACATTGTAGACATTAGAACTTCGCGTGATCATTCGCTGGTCTTGGAGAACTAGGAAGCGCACAGTGGGAATTCAGGTTTCCTGGCGGGCTTGCGGCGCGACTAAGGAGGAGGAGGAGGAGGAGGAGGAGGAGGAGGAGAAGAAAGAGGAGGAGAAGGAGGAGGAGGAGGAGGAGTTTTTCACGCTTCGTTCTCGGCGCATGTTTGTTTTCCGACGGTATCCCCGTCAGGGTTTCGGGGTTGTCCCGTTCCGTCTGAGTTGTTTCTCATTTTTCGCCCCTCCTCTTCCATTCATCCTGCAATTGCTTTTGCTTTACGCTCGGGCGCACCTAGACGCAGGGCACCCATTCTGAGGCTCGCGCGATAAGAATATGGGGGGCGCGCGCGCGTCCGTCGTCGCTGGCATCGTCGGGTCGAATTGCAAACGGTTCTTTTTTATATACCTTTTTCGGAGTGTGTTCGTGGGTCATGGCAGGACGCAAGTTCGAAACCAACATGGGCGAATGGCCGCCTTCGCGGGCGAGCCAGGGCCCGGGCCCGACAAGGTTCTGCTGCCGAAGAACAAGGGGTGGTTTGGCCTCAGGCTATCCCATCCCCATACATCGGCCATCCCCGACATGCCGACATGCCCCACTCGGATTCGCTGGTTGCCGATCTTGAGGCGATGATCTCGGGCACCTTGTTCTAGATTGATGGGGGCGCTGACGGCCACGTTGTGACATGCGAGCGGCCAGCTGTCGCCGCCACGGCCAGGACGGATCGAACATCGGGTGATGAATGCGCCGTCCCTATAGGGTATAACGTCGATGCACCGACGCCCGCAAGTGCCTCGCATAGCGGGGCCAGTGCGGCGGGGAGATCTGTTGCTGCGAGCGTTGCGGCGGAGAGATCTGTTGCTGCGAGCGTTACGGCGGAGTTACTTACTGCGGGCGCTGCGGCGGTGAAAGCGAGTTCTACAGGAGGGCCAGCCGCGTTCAGGAGGAATTCGGAAGAGCCAGGACAGCGGGGGGGTGCTATACTTCCCATCCTTTCGATCATGCGTTCCTCCTCCGCGGAAACACATCAGGACAAAGCGGAGCTGCAATGTCAGCCAGGGTTTGCCAGAACGCGCGTCAGAGACAATCCTTACGACCGCCTTCTGGGGCATCGGAGGTTGGGGGGTGAGATCGAAGTGGAACGGATAGATCCCCGCCGGGAAATCGGTTTCGCTTTCGGATTCGTGTCGTGCGTGCGGGCGAGGCGAAGGTGCGTGCGTGGGCGGGCGAGAGGAGTGATTCCGCTGTGGCTAAGGTGGGTCAAGAATCGTTGACCGCCCCACCTCCCCCGGTTGGCGGGCGGTGGCCGGGTTGTCCGCCGTGGCGTCCCGTCCACGTCCGCCTCTCCCGCGCGGTAGGCGTGCGGTGGCCTGGTTGTCCCGCCGTGGTGTCCCGTCGGCGTTCCGTCGAACTCCCATCTGTGTCCGGTCGGTGTCCCGTTGTGTTCCGTGGCTATTTCGTCGCCGATCCGTCGGTGTCCCATCGGTTTCCCGTCGGTTTCCCGTCGGTGTCCTGTTGTGTCCAGTCGGTGTCCCGCGGTCAGATCGATCGTGCGGCCGATTGTGATATCAAAAGTGAAATCGAGCGAATGATATCAATAGTGATACTGGTAGTGGCATGGATAGTGACGTCGAAGGTGATCTCGATTGGTGCCCCAATGGTGTCCCGATGGTGTCCTGTGGTGTCCCGTCGGTGTCCCGTCGGTGCCCCGCGGGTGTCCTGTCGGTGTCCCGTCGGTGTCTTGTGGTGTCCCGAAGTGAGATCGATGGTGAGATCAATCGTGAGACCGATTGTGACATCGATCGTAAGAGCGGTATCGAAAACGATGTAGAGATTTATCGTGATATCGACCGAATGGGATGGATAGTGAGATCGAGCGACTGGGATCGATAGGGATATCGAAAGATATCGATCGGTGTCCCGATGACGTGCCGATCGTGTCCCGTGGTGTCCCGTCGGTGTCCCGCTGGTGTCCTGTCGGTGTCCCTTCGGTGTTTTGTCGGAGTCCCGTCGGTGTTCCGTGGTGAGGTCGATCGTGATATCGATATAGACGCCGATCGTGTGATCGATCGTGGAGATCAGTGATGGGATCCAGGGTGAGGTCGGAAGCGTCATCGATCGAGTGCGAACGATGGTGGGATCGATCGATTGAGGCCGATCGCGATACCGAGAATGAGACCGATTAAGGAAGCACTATTGAGGTCGATGGTGGCCTGATGGTGTCGTGATTGGTGCCCCGATTGGTATCCCGATTGATGTCCTGGTGGTGTTTCGATGGTGTCTCCCTTGTGTCCTGGTGGTGTCCCGATCTGTGTCCCGAGTGGTGTATCGATGGTGTTCCGACAGGTGTCCCAATGGGTGTCTGATGGCGTTTTGGTGGTGGTTCGATGGTGTTTCGATGGTGGCCTGGTTGTGTCCATCGTGGGACTTGGAAGGCGGGATCGCAGAGATCCCGATACGCCAAACGGTTTTCAACGTCCGCATCGCTGGCCGTGGGATCGAGTGTGATATTGGGCGAATGATGTCCCGTCGGTGTCCCGTCGATGTCCCGATTGGTGTCCCCTCTGTGTCCCGGTTGGTGTCACGATTGGTGTTTCGATTGGGGTGTCCGAAAATCACACATCCGGCCAGGTGGTTTCATTTGTGGCCGCGAACGTCCCGAGGCAAAATTAATGACACCACGCGCGCTGGGATGATCAACTGAATTCGAAACTTCGGGCGAACTCGATATCGATATCGGTACTATGATCGAAGGTGCGTTTGGTAGTCGTACCACTAGTGGGTGCGATGTCGTGAACTCGACCAAAACAACATACCGATTGCGAAGTCGATTGTGTGACAGATTTTGTGATCGATTGTGAAATGCCCCAGATGTCCCGTCGGCGTCCGCACGCTCTCCTGCTCATGTCCGCAACCGCTCTGGTCGTTTTCGTTCCGCCTTTTTCTCCGCCATGCGTCCTGCTGACCATCCCTTGCGCCCTCGCCCGTCCTTGCTTTCATTCCTGGCCTTCGGAGGCCGCGGGGCTGGGGGCCGGAAGCATTGTGGGGTGGTTGACGCGACGGCGGTGGCGGCATCTTTTGGGTGTGTTCCGCGGTGCCCCCCCCCATCGCGCGAGCGGTTCACGGGGGGTGCCCGGGTGCGGGCCGTCGTGGTGGAAGGCCACAGCGACGGCGACCGTATTTCGTGGGTGTCCCGTGGTGCCCCCCCTTGCCGCGCGAACGGTCTCAAGGCGAGGTGCCCAGATGTTGGGCGTTCCAGCTTGAACGCTTTTGTCCACTCCCTACCTTCTTGCCTCCATCCTTGCTATCCAGCGCCACTTAGGCTCAGAACGCCGGGCGCGCACTCGGGCCACTGCGGCTTGCGGCGCACCGTCCGGCTGGGCGCGCGGGCAATGTCTGGGCGAGATGTGGGCGACGCGTGCAGTTCGCCAGGTGAATTTGAGTCCCGACGCGGAAAAACTAGACGGCGAACTACCAGGCGTGCGCGGATGCGCGGGCGTACTGTAAGGCACGCTCTCCCAGTTCGACAGGGGCCAGGCGGTGCCGCAAGCTTCAGAGGAATCGGGCGGGCACGCGGCGGGGCCAGGCATCGACACTTCAGTTCGAACCTTGCCCAAGCGGCGTGAGGCGGGTCCGACGCAGGCGCCGGGCGGACATGCGGAGGGGCCAGGAAGTGCCGGCTCGAACCTCGCTCAATTCGATGGTGAGGTGTCTCGATGGTGAGGTCGATTGAGTGGGATCGATAGTGGGACCGCGTCGCGACGCAGCGTTGTCGCCGCACGTCGTCGTCAACTAGAGGGCGTATCACTGGCGTCGTCATCATCGCAACCATCGCAGCTGTCGTCAGTTGGTTCTTTCTCCCCCCGACCAGCCACCTGATCGCCCGAAGGGTGGCCGT